CTCTTCCATTTAGGAAGACATCGATACCAGGCTGGAATTAAGAGTGCTTCTCTCTCAATCACAGATTCATTTACTTATTTCTGTGTTAAAATGCAAGACAGTTCTTTGAGATCACTTCAGAGAAGCAAAACGCTCACCGCAACGATGGACCGTGGTATCAGAATCTCGGGCACAAAGGGAATAAAAAATTAAATAAATTACTAATTATTCCTTGTTATAGCAGATGTTCATTCTGAAGACATGAATGCAATTTGCTTTGTCAGTGGGAGAATCTACCTGCTGGCCGAGTGGCGTGCACATTTTGTAAGGTACAATTCTTTACAGATAGAAAATTTTAGTTCCCTGTGAAGTCTTTGATACTGCTGAGGATTTTTTTTCTTTATTTTTAGAATCATAGAATCATAGAATGTTTTGGGTTGGAAGGGACCCCTAGAGGTCATCTAGTCCAACCCCCCCGCAGGAGCAGGGACACCGCTAACTAGATCAGGTTGCTCAGAGCCCCGTCCAACCTGGCCTTCAATGTTTCCAGGGATGGGGCCTCCACCACCTCTCTGGGCAACCTGTTCCAGTGTTTCACCACCCTCACTGTAAAGAATTTCTTCCTTATATCCAGTCTAAACCTACCCTGGTTTAGTTTAAAACCATTACCCCTTGTCCTGTCACAGCTGGCCCTGCTAAAAAGATTTTCCCTGTCTTTCCTATAGGCCCCCTTTAAGTACTAGAAAAATCATACAAGTCATTTAGCCTTAAATATTTACGTTTTTAAGGGATCTTAAAAGCTCGATGAACTCCTGACACAGTGCTGCCCCATCTTCCCACTGCACGAATGTTAAGCTGTAGCTGTTACTCAGTATTTCTGCACTGCCCATTTGTTTTTTTGCGGCTGCATTGAACAAAAACATCCTGTGATGTAAGGAAGAGGTAGCACACTGCTGCGGTGGTATGTGTTATTTCCAATGCTGTTGTTAACCGGTTTTGTTTTCATTATCTTAGGACGTCACCAGAGAGAGCTCAACCAGAATAATAATTCCAGGCATCGAAAATATCCGCTGAGCAAGAGAAACCAGAGCCACTCTTTGAGGCTTCTTGTTAAAGGGCATGTTTCGTAATACAGAATTTGCAGAGGCAATAAGAGCCACACATCACCTGGGGTTACCAGCTAAGGGTCTTTCAAGGTCTGGAAGGCTGGAAACCACCCTGATACACTAAAAAAATAATTCCATTGACTTAAGGCCCCAAAGAAAAAGACTGAGAGGCAAGAGTCAGAAGACGGAGACTAGATGGGGACCAGCCCAGAGGACAGGGTGAGGAGCAAAGGCAAGGAGATGCACGGCACCGCTGGAATGCAGGAGGCCATAGGCTGGTGTCCAGCACCACTGCTTCCTTCGAGGCAATTTGGCAGACAAGGAAAGAAAAAGGCTGGATGTGAAAAAATGCGAGTGATCATATGAAAAAATAGTTTATGCAGCTTCCAACTCCTAAGCAGCTGTGTAGTTTCCGTATCATCCACCCAGTGGTGGACGGACACGTGCTTCTGAGTTAAAAGTTCTTTCTTTTACTCTTCTACATGACTTTACAGAAATGGCCCAGTACATACAAGCTATTAGGAAGACAAATACCTAATAATACTATAAAAAAAATAAACCTGGAAAGGAGGAAACTGCAAAATACAGTGGACGCTTTCATTCAATTTCTATCCCGTAACGCAAAGATGTCGGATTGCTTCAACACGGCACCTTCTAACTTTCCTTTGCTGCTAGTCTGTGCCTGAACCCATTCCAAAACATGAGTCTGCATGATAAAACCCACCTACAATAACTCTCCTTCACCATTTTTATCTGTATTTCCATGCCATCTATAAGGGAAGTAAAACCAGTTTGCGATGCAAATATTTATGTGCTTCTGCAGAGCAACAGCACCAAAAAAAAAAAAAAAGCCATAGCAAACCGCTGGGATACAGATTCCTCTTCTGCATCCTGATTCACTTATTTAAATAAATGTCTGTTTAAAACTACAGCATCTTAATTAAAGCGACTTCTACCCCTATTGTAAAAACATTAAAAAGACACAGAAGACAGCAACTTGATTCCGTTCGTGATTCATCAAACTCAAATGTAATTCTCTTATTTTAGAGTGATTTTCTTAAATTCTGAGCGTTGTTCTAATTATACGGGGATTGATGAGGAACATAGAAAACTGGAAAGGTATTTTTATTCTCGGATTTCTGCAGGGTTTGCCAAAGTCTGGAAAAAACCCAAGCTCGTGACTATTAATGATGACCGGATGCTAATCTGTCCAGAAATTCTGTAGAAGCACGACTACTGTCATTTATTTTTGAAGGCCCTCCTAATTTTAACTGAGTTAATCTTATGCTGGTGTTCTCTTAGGCTGGCAATCTTATGCCAGTGTATTTAAAATATATGACAAACAAACAGATTTCCCAGCTTCCCAGGAAAACCTCTGAAACCAGCTTCCCGTGCTGCCGTGGCGTGCGCAGCCTGGGCAGACCCAGTCCAAACGCCTGTTTCGGGAAAGGAATCACCAGCAATGCGAGAACCCCAAGAGCTGCATATTTCATTTCTTCTTAATAATTTCTAATACCAAAACATATTTTGCAGCACCTGGCAGCACCAGGCTCCCCGAAGAGCGATCACTTCGGCAAGCAACACGTGGCACCGCTGGACAGTGAAAGTCTTTGCCAAGTTGAGGCTGGAGAATTTTTAATTTTTTTCTTTTACTGTGAAAGGAAATGTTCCTTTATACTGGGAAAACATTCTCTAGGACAACATATGGGAAAGGGAGTGTATTTTTTTCCCCAATACTGAGAAAGGGAAGCGACACGGTACATTTTAAGATCACCTTTCCCCTGATGGCCCCCGCAGGCTCGTCGACCAACCTGTGGGACTGAGTTAACTACTCTTCCCTCAAAAAGACATTTCTGTCTAAGTAGTATTTTAAAAATATAGAAGTAGTAGTATTGAAAACTTCTCAGTCTGCTTTTCAAACCTACCAGATATGTAATGACAAAGAAAACCAAGGCTCAGCTGAGGTATATTAAAAGCCTCTGTAAACCAACCAGCGGCGCAGGTCAGAAACGAGCCGGCTGGAGAAACCATTCTTCATCTCTTATCAGCTGAGAGTTACTAGCGAGAGGTTTACGCTTCTCTTCTGCACAACAGGCGGCTGGTGCATGCCCCCTGCTCCCCAGCAAGCGAGGCCTGGCTCAGCACAGCATTTGGGGTCACGTCCCTCTCCCGCTGCGCGGCCGCGCCAGCGTCTCCGCCTGCGTTAGGCAGCAGGCTCAGCAACAGCAGCCTGTGCGTGCGATACGCCAGTGAAGCGTATGTTTGAAATAATATTAGTTTACTGTAGTGGGGCTGTAGTGTAGTTTATTCTAAAATTCTACTGTTAGGAATTGCTCTAAATATTTATCTGCTGTAATTCAATAGATTTGCTATTTCCATTTTATTAAGTTTAAATTTCTTCGTAAAGCACAGGTAATATAATTAGACAGTACTTGCAGTAGGAACAGCAAAAAATTCTTCAGTGCGGTCTACAAATAGGCTCTATCAATTAATTAGATTTCACTACATTTCAACATTAAATTTTCCGAAAGCACTTTAATAAAACATAACCGATCACACCACAAATGCAGTTGCACACCAAGCCTGGAAATCAGGCTGGCTCCTCTGTGCGTTCACAACCAGGAACACAAATTTTAGTACACGGGGTATTGACTGTGGTAACTCCCGAGTTAGAGGGCCTATGGAAGTCTGAGCTCGTGATTTAGTGCTCCGACAGTACGACTTAATATATGCAAGTAAAAGGAATAGCTGCAAAGACGAATGAGCAGGAATACGCAGTAACGCCACAGACCTCGACTGGAGCAAAACCAGCTGAGTTGCCGAGGGGTTCGCCCCGAGCAGCGCTAGGGCTTTGTTCAAGCCGCAGCCTCACAGGAAACCCAGGCCGCTTCTGCACGGCGCGGGGAGAACCGCGGCCCACCTTCATTTCCAAACCCTGAGCGCAGAGCCCACGGATGAGGCGATGCTTCGCACCTTGCTCGGCGCGGCGGGGCTGCTTCGAGCGAGGACGTTGGATGCCCCGGCGTGGAGCTTCGTTCTGCCCCTGCGGGCTGAGAAGCGTGCGCTGCCTTTCACAAACCCTATCTTGCAAACGCATCCCTGCCCTTCTTTCCGCACAAGAGGACGACAAGAGATAACCCAGCATCTCTGCTGTTACCTGCGCTCGTTTCACACGGGCTCATAGTCTAACAAAATGCATTCAACTTTCCTACATGGTTTCTACAGGACAGCCAATGTTTTATCAGGTGGCTAACAGTCTTTGCTTTCCTCGCTTCTGGTTGTCTAATGTTGATTTCTTTTGCACTTGCTGAGCTCTGT